TTTTGATAGTTTTGAAAGCGATGAACAAACTGAATGACTTTAGAGTGCCGCGAGACTCGCAGGTAAAATATAAATTCTTTTTTAATCGACGTTTTCCTCGGCGTCCCTGTCGAGGTTACTTAGACTCCCTTATGTTTCTTTGCACCCCACCTCCTCTCCTCGCGCCTGCCACATAATTTCCTTATGCTGGTTTCATTTTCCCCTCACCTTAACTGGGATAACGTTTAGAAAGATTCCAGTCATGAGTAAATCGGCTTTGGGAATTTGGCCCCAGCCTTTTTTGTGGGATTATGCAGTTATTGCATAATCCCATATAGTCGTCGATTTTCCTAAATGTTTGAGGAAGTGTTGAAACCTGAGAATCTTTCCACCGATGAGAGTTAAAAGTTAATGAAGATAGTGAAAACTCGAGACGTAATCGGCCGCCTTTGCTTCCTGTCAAATCCCTTCTAAACGACTCAAAAAGACCCAGGAACAAAGGTAAATAACAGTACATTTATTTTACATGAATGTGACTGATTATGTTATTGCTGATACAGTGTTCGGTTCTCCTGCACTTTTGACGAGCGAGATAATTTTCATGAGCGCAAATCGAATGGGAGTTTTAAAATTGCCTACAGGCCAAAATTTAAGCTTGTTCTTTTGTTCAAAAGCGGTGATGCGGTGAATAAAATCCCAACTTGCGGTGTTGTGGTGATCTCAAACCCTTCGATGTGCGATGTTTGTGTTTTTCACGCTACGGTGCTCGGTGAAATAAAGTTATTTGCGGTGCTGTGGTTTCTTGTTTGACCTTTCTCAGACCTAAATTTAGCATGCAAACTTTTTCTTTAGTTTGTAAGAAAAAAACACAGACCAACACAGTCTAGTTAATCTTCAATATGCTTCAGCTGCCAAGCCAAAGCTGTTTTTATTAATACATAACTTGACGAGTAACTTTACCTCTGCCACGATGCACGCGCAGCTGGACCGAATATATTATTGACTGTGTGGCATTTTCAGCTGATTTAAAGGCATCAGCAGTGTCAACGTGTAGGCAATGAAAAACGTTGTGATTTTTTATTTTGTGGAAAATTGTTAACGCCGCCCGAGACAATACAGAAAGTTAACCAAGGTAAAACTTCGATTTACCCTGTGTTCAGGCATGGTTTAGGTCGATAACCAAGGTCGAGATGACAGATATATCCACTTGACTTACAGGCCAAAATTTAAGCTTGTTCTTTTGTTTACGTTTTGAATCATGCTGAGTTTACGTCAAAACATGACATAACAGTTATGTAAATGTATCTCTTAAAATTCTTTTTTCGAGAAAAAGATATGCATTACGTAACTTCTTTGATTTACTTGGTAATGGTTGCCCTCGCTGCGCTTCTTTTTCTACAAAGTACAAGGGATGTTTCGTGTAGAATTCCTTCGTTTTCCTGGGTTATATTACATGTAGGTCGCCTGTCGCGATCACGCGTAGTTGATTCTTCACTCGAATTCCTGGCCATAATTTCCTTTCGGTTGAGCCTTGGTAAACTTAAGCGGCGGTTATCTTCGAACTAATGTAGACATCAGACCGAGAGGTGATTTGAAAACGAATTTATTTCATGCTCACTTTGATTTATAGAGGTAATTTCAAGAACGCACCTGGTTGAGTCATGTGATGATGATGGTTCGACTTAAAAGCGATAGGTTACAATAATTCTAAGAAAAGGTGAGAAACAGAATAAAAAAGATAAAGACAAACAACTTATAGATATTTCCTCCTATTGATGTGAACTGGTAGACTGAAGTAACTGATAAACTAAACTGAAACTCGGTGCAATTGACACGTATGCTGATATAATACGTACTGAACAAAACGAAAACTGGGAAATCTTACGCAACAAATCACATCATGATCGACGAGCTAAAAATTTTAAATCAAGTGTAACGCAAGTGGGGAAATGTCACGCACGTTTGAATCCTACATACCGGCCCCTAAATGCGAACTGAAAGCATTTGAATTTATTTGGGTGATTCAAACGGAAAAACGTTAGTAATATATTGTCACTTAATCCATTTTAAATGGTTCATCACAATCAAGTCAATAAAGAAACAACTGTTCTCTTACGTTATAAGCAAACTTCTTGATTGAGGACATCAAGATCAACAATATTTAGCTGCTCTCGTGGAGTCTAGGAGCCTCTAGAAGAACGATCTTGTCGATGGGACGCTCCAGCACCGAGAACTTGGTTTTCCGCGTGCTTCACAAGCTTGTCTCTCTTGTTTGGTTTTACTTGCAGGATGCGACAAGTTTCTTGGGAAATTATCGTCTTCCACGAGTACAATGTCTCCAGATTCAAAGTTACACCTTTACCTTTGCAGTGATTGCCTTCTCACTTATAGCAATTCAACACCCAGATACTGACTTTTAAAAACAAACTCTAACCGAATGGAATAAAACTAAGCATAAAACCACAAGTACCCATTGCCGACCTATTTTTATATCAAGTGACAGTGTCTTGGTATGTCTGTTAGCGCCCAGTAACCAAGCGCGGGAATGCAGCCCATTAGAGTCAAGCAGATATTTAGATATCATAAGGGCGAAAAACAGGTACACGAAAATGAGGCGTGAAGCAAAGACTGCTCATGAAATAAAATAACCCCACAAAAATAGTTATTACCGAGTTGAACACCCCTTAGACCAAACTTTACTGATCAATTCTCCATAAAATAATAAAATTAGAATTCCGTCGTTGGATATTCCACAGACGTAGAAATGCATTTAATCAATTGTACTGCTTATTAGCCCTTTTGTTTAGTGAAATTCCCATTGTGGTTGCCATAGTGTTTGCTCATCTTCGTAACAACATTTACGTGATTTTGCTAACATTCCTCGAATAAAAAGAAAACAAAAGCATCGAGTAGTTTTCTAAAGGTTATCAGTTTCTATCCACTGGTTAGTTACAGATTTGAACCGTGGTCCTGAATTCTGGCTCCTTATGTGAGCCTAGTACCCAGGAGTCCTTGTTTATGTGGGCAGGTATAAAGATCCTCAAACGACCGCCTGACTTGTGTGGGCGAAACGATTTGTGTGCATTTGCTGATGACTAAAATAGTTATGTGTGGACAAAACCTAGTTACATCACCTGCGAAAGACAGTGCTTTGTTACATTTCCAAACCGCAGCGAGAAAGGAGGCATAACAGTTCGAGTGTTAGTGAAAATGCGAAAAACTGTCGTCTCGAGTGATTGATATATCTTCTCATTCATAAAACCAAGAAGTTAAAGGAGCTCAGTAACGGAATTTTCATTTTTTTTGCCACATCAAAAATAACCTTAAGGTCCCGTCCAAACCACGCCGCAGGAAATTGAAAACGGAGCTTTGTTTCTCCGATGAGGCCTTAATTCCATCCACACTAATCCGCCACGAAAACGGAGCTTTGTTTCTCCGATGAGGCCTTAATTCCATCCGCACTAATCCGCCACGAAAACGGAGCTTTGTTTCTCCGATGAGGCCTTAATTCCATCCACACTAATCCGCCACGAAAACGGAGCTTTTCGAAAACGCTGTTCAAACTGGAGGAATTTGAAAACGTCGGCTTTGTAGTTTATTGTGGAGGGAAAAATATTTTAAAAATAAAGCTTTTCGAAAACGATAACGTCACGATACTCATGTAATTTCCCTGACCGAGTTTTCCTCAAACACAAATCCAAAATGACTGGTGATTGTTATGTTTTTGAACCCGGCCTGCGGCGTAGTGTGGACGGAAAACATTTGATGCGTTTTCAGAGAGAAACCTTCGTTTTCAAATTCCTCCGGCGAAGTACGGACTGGGTCCTAAATTAATGGAAAGCTAAAAATAGTGGTTTACTAAGATAGAAAAATACCAAATAGGTAACAATAAACCATAAACACGATTACAAAAGAAGAAATTGAAAAATTTAGCTTAACTTTTCAAGAAGCGTAAACGGTGACGGAGAAATTGAATCATGAAACTAGATATCCAAATCGCTATCACCGGCTTCTGCCATATCTATTTTTTGTTTTAAATGATGAATAATTGATGATTTGAAAGTACCGTGTCGAGAAACGGATTCATAACTAAGAAAATCATTTTAGGAACCGAACAGGGACATTGACTGTCGGAGGATAAATTGGGGCTAGTAGTACTTTAAAAAGTAATATTATTTCCTTAACACATTTTGATTGGGGAGACGATTCAACTTAAAAATATATTTCAGTCCTTTTTACATACAGGGACTAGTTTAATTCCCTCGTCTTAGCTTGTGAACAGCTGCCGCCCATCGATAAAATTCTGATTTTTCTCCAGTAGAATAGGTGACTGCCCACAAGCTATCTGATAACTTCGACTTTAACTTCAATTTTATTTATTGTGCAATATTTATTGAGTTTACATTAGTGAGTTTTATAAATATAGAAAGAGTAGTGACACTTTGCCTCAAAAAGTCCACGCGAAAAGTGTTTTCATGCAAATCCATGCAAATCAATTTTCCAGATGGTAAAATGTGTAAATAATCAAAAATGAGCAAAGCACCTTCGATAAGATTTTTTTGTCACTTCAAGAGTGTTAATAACACTCTCGGCATGTGATATTGATGGAATGATTTCTTATTTATTCATTTCAGAGCAGAATGTTGTATTCGCAAAAGAATATCTTAGATGGACCAAGAAAGGATTTGAAAAGAGCGAAGTCAATTTCAAGCTTATTGGTTGTTCGTTAATTATTTCAGCTGCTCGAAAAATGTCTTGTGATTGAAGTTATTAATTATCTTCACAGGCAAAATCAAGCAAGTGACGAAGTTGTTCTATGGCAACGAATGGGTTTCCTACTGGAGCGATTTTTAATATCTATCAATGCTGCCGTAGCTTAAACTCCAATGGACTGAAACAGAAGTTGTTTACTTGTGCATCAAATAATTGGTTTTTTGTATTGTTTTCACTGTCAGTAGGAATAAATACTGTGAGAACAAGCGTTTATGAGAAATATTCCTCAGTCTATTTCTCTTTAGTGGCTAGATTTCTTGTCAACGACGTAGTCTCTCGAAACATATTGAAGGACCGCGAAAAGTGGATTAAATAACTAAAAGGACGGCCGTGGATTTGAAGAAACTGGTGGAGAAGTTAAAATCAAAGCAATTTTACGTATGAATCATTTAAACGCGAGTCCGCCCTCCAAAGAAAATTCTGTACCATTGGCGTTGAACGAATCTTTACACTTTGTCACTTTTGTGACCGCAGGGAATTGTGTACTATGTCTTCTCATCCCTTTGACGTTCGTCGGCGATGTTGCCGTTTACACGGCGTTTTATTTGAATCGCAACTTGAGGACGCGTACGAACGCACTTTTCTTGAGCCTCGCCACCTCGGACATTTTACTGGCTTTGTTTGTATTACCTTTTGAAGTTGTCCGTTTGTCGTATTATCCACACTGGCCTTTTGGAGAAACGGCATGCAACATTTGGAACTCGGTATTTGTGGCCCTTGGGAGTGCTTCAATTTGCCACTTGTGCGCCATCAGCATCGATCGGTTTCTAGCCATTTCGCGCCCTTTGCGTTATTGTAGCGACATTTCAGCTGGAGTTCTTGCATCTATCGTGTTCCTTTGGTCGTTTGCTTTTTTAAGCGGGCTTGGAAGTTATTTCATTTGGACACAGCCAAACCCACAAGAGTGTGCTGAGCTATCGGCTCCATTGACAAGGTCTGTTCTTCTGCTGGTCTTTAACATTCTGGTACCATTTGTTATTTGTCTGCTAACGTACGCCAAGATTTTTCACATATCGCGGCAACAAGCCAAACGAATTGTCGCAACTTGTCGTTGGATCGAGAGAAGAAATAACTATTTATCCGTGGAGAGAAAGTCAGCAAAAACCCTAGGTACTCTTGTCGGGGTTTTCACCTTTACCTACTTTCCGTTTCTTGTCTTCCATGCCCTGGACGGTGCTTTCAACGAGAAGCTACCGAATCGATTTTATTTTGGTAGTGTTGTAAAATGGTTAACTTTCGGTAGCTCTGCCATAAACTGGGCGCTGTATGGATGTCTAAACAAGGAGTATAGAGAAGCATTATATAGGATCTTTAATTTTCTTGGGTGTAAAGCTTGTCGCAGAGAAACGAACCAAATTAACAACATAGAAGCGTACACAATCTCCTGAATACGTGATAAATGGATTGTTTGAGAACTCTAGTGGTAAAGGATTTACAACAAGCTTTAACTTGTGAGTTTTGTTCCAAGTTAATTCCGTTAGTTTTACCTTCAGGATCAAGCATGTCTTATGTACAGAATATTGGTCAACCGTTAAAAAAAATTGACATATAGAGCGGTTTTTAACTGGTTTTGGTTTTACTACGGTGTGAGATTGGCTGAGTCGTCTAATCGGTAAGTAATTGTGTTTTCACTCAATTGAAAACCGCGTCTGACACCTGAGTGGAGAGAGCAGTTAGTGAGAGATAAATGAACATGTCGACTGCATAGAGAGTCTGAAAATTATTAGAAGTGGAAAGTTGTGCTTACTGCTATGCGTGGTTTCAAATGAGTAAAAAAACATTAGTTTATTGATCCATGAGAAACAAACAATTAGAGAGAACAAACAATCAAGAATCAAACGCACTAATGAAGGAACGAGCGAACAAGAAAACAAACAGACGAACTCTAGGCGAATGAATAAAAAGAATTCGGAAATGAACTATTGAAAAAAGAAAAAGAAAGAAATTCTGTGAAATATAAAGTTCTCAGCAGTTCCAATAAAACTCTTCAGGAAGTCTATCTAGCTGTGTTGTAATTAACTTTCTTGCTTAATTTGAATGTTATAATGCACTACGCTTATATATATTATGACATATACAGTAATTTATTTTGTATTCCTCGTATTTTAAGGGGAGCGACAGTTTATTGAAATTTTAATAATTTATTGGCCGGCTTTAAATGTAAAAATACAGGGAAATGAAATGCTTGATCGGTTTTGTCTGTATCATGTTTTCAAATCTTTCAAGTCTGGTCCACTATTTTTATAGCCAATCTGATTGATCGATGAAAGTGGATAAATCCCAGTTAGGGTTCCCCAACCCCTGATGTCAATCTCTCGTGATAGGTTTTTTTTTTCTGTCTTTCATGTTTGTCGAAAAATTATCTTTTGCTTCGAAAGAAATAAATATGCACACCTTTTGCGAACATGAACCTTTTCAAAGGGATCGTTCTAACTCCCAACTCAAATACGTTTTCGGATTGGACGAGAACGTTTCACGTGTCATGGCTCAGAACTCACTAAAGCCTGGTTCTCATATCCCGCCGACCTACCTGCGACGTAGTCGCCGGGTGCAACTGACAACGTTCGGGGATCTGTCCGAGTGCCGGTTCCCGGCGCATCTGCGATGGATCGCCGACGTACTCAATTTTGCCTAAAATGCAAATCGAATGGGCGCAATTTTCAACCAATTCACTGTAAATATGGATGGAATCGTCTTACTGCAGTACGTTGCGCCCGCAGATGATGTTCACATAAAATATTAGGGAGCTTAAGCAACGAAGACGGCGACGCTAAGGACGACGTCTCGTAAAAAGTGAATTTATATCTTATCTTCGAATTTCGCAGATGTCTAGATCTTTTTAGTGGGCCTACTTGTCTCAGAACTTGCTCAATCTAAATACGTAACGCCAGCGTTCAATTCCAAATGACAATACAAAAAATTAGCCACTCTCCTTCACGTTCTTCAAAATACACAGAACTTAGTCATTTCAGGTTGTTGTTTTGCAGAGGACGACAAAGAAATGTACAAAAATTTATGACGCACGTGCACAGCTATTGTTCTGCTCATTAAACTTTTTGTTTGGTGACGTTCTCGTTGCCGTTGCCGTCTTGGTTTGCTTAAGGTCCCTATTTTCACCACCGACAACTCCGACAACCGCCAGCTTGCCTGCGAAGTTGAACTCGGCTCAACTTCGTTATGGTCTTACCGATAATGATGAAAATGTAGCTTCTTCAGTAAAATTCATTCCTAATTTACGACTAGCGTGCAAAACTATGACAAAAATGGCCAAAATAGATACCCTGTTTATGACCATGACGGCTGGAAACCATACCCTTTAGGCCGGCACATACCTATGTAGCCCATATAAGGAGTACTCCCTCCCCGGGCAGCTTACTAGGATGAAAACATATGCACCAGCATGAAGTAGGCTATAGATAGAACTAACCTCAATGCTTTAGACAGAATCCTCCAACATTGCTTGTGCTTGTCTTGCGTCGCTAGTGAAAACCAGGTTTTGCAGTCAAAACTCTTGACGCGTTCCCTTTGAAAATGAGATAAGCCAGGTTTTCATTGGGCAAGCAATAGGGATGACCCAAGTGAAAACGAAATTCGACGCAAACACAAGCACAAGCAAAATCATCCGAACACGAACTGCTTAGGTGCGAGGTAATGTGGAACCAGTGTTTTCACTGGCCAAACATAAACTCGTGTGGCAAGTACCCTTGCGCTTGTGTTACGCCTGAGCGGTATTTCGTTTTCACTTGCTGTAGCGCAATCGCAAGCATAAGCGCAAGCACAAGAAAAAGGACAAATTTTGATCTTTGAGCTTGCTTTTGCGCTTGTGCTTATGCCTGCGTCAAGGCCGTTTTCACCGTGAAATAAGAATTGTTGTGCTTGTGCTTGTACTTGCGCTTGTGCTTGCACTCGTGCTTGTGTCGCTAATGAAAACTATTTAGTCCAAGAACGTTGCGTAGCTTCGCGTCTCGTCCCACACGTGAAGGAGTTACTATATCCATTCCAACACGGTTTTCAAAAAGGAAGGTCTTGTGTCACGCAGCTCTTAGAAGCTTTTTATGATATTGGTGGCGCGCTGGATCGTGGGATTGAAACTGATATTATCTATCTCGACTTTGCCAAGGCTTTTGACTCTGTATGTCCCGCTAAGCTGGTTTCCAAGCTATCAACCTTTGGAATTAAAGACCCTTTACTATCTTGGTTTCACTCGTATCTA